GGCTTAGTCAGTTTAAGTCTAATGAAATAATAAAAACTTTGAGGAGAAGTGGTGTAAAGTTTGAGTCAAACATGGAAAAAAACCCTAGGTGAAAAAAGTAAACTACTTTCGAACTTATGTTGCTGAATTATTAGACTTTCAAAAAAAGGAAAACGATAACGACTATGCTACAGTAAAGAGAAATTTAGTATATATTGAATATATTACAACGCTTTTAGATTTTGTAATAAAATATCGAGGACAGGTTCCACAACACACATTTGTTGACATAAAGTTAATCAACATATTGCTGGGAATTTCGGTATGTTGTTTTTAAATAATTTTAAGATAATAAGACATATGAAGTGAACACAATAATAGGAAAAAGGTTTTTTTACCCAACAATATATTTATAAATTGAATTATTATATAAAATTGTAGGCTCATGGAGGAAAGTATGCCTGTGCATGGGGTGAAGGTTCTTCTGAACTATTTTCTAGAGATTTAAGAACATTTCAATCTTTAAATGAATACTTTGAACTGTATTCGTCTGCAGGATCTCCGGTGCAAAAAATAAAGGAATATAAAGTATAAATAAATAAGTATATTGTAAATATATTCAAAATATATCATTTATCACAAATTTATCATTTTTAAAAGGATAAAAAATTATTGTTTCCATATATTTAGAATGTCATTAATCCTTGTCTGCTCAAGATAGAAGACAAATCTCTATGTATAATAAGTGAAGTTCCATTACCAGAACTTCACCTTCTGATGGGATTTGTTGACCATGTGGCAAAACTGATAATGCAGCTTTGGTCTGGATTTATAGATTGGGTCAAGAACATTTGTCGCCTTTGAAAAGGTTGCCATGGAGAAACATTTGAAGGAAACGCGTGTAGAGAGATACTTAAAAGTTGCAACAAACTTGAATTGATAATGCCTGTTAAACAGTATCTTCTCTTGAAAACAATCAGAAAAATTAATAAGGTTGTTCATGCTGTCTTTGGCTATAAACTTGACCGAAACTATTTATAATTAATTGAAAGTTTTACACAAAAGTGAAGTGTTCAGTTCAAATAGTTCATAAGTTATTGAACATACATCAGTTGTACATCAAAACACAAACATTATTGAAATCTTAAGTTAAAAACATTAGTAAATTCATTCAAAAAGACAATAAGAATATATTAGTAAAAAATTTTAAAATATTTTATTTATATTTATTATATTATTATTGTTTTATTGTTTTGAAAGTAATTTCAAGCATATCTAAACTTTTTTTGCCAACTTAAAGCAAACTAATTATATTGATGTATAAATACAAAATTAAAAAAGCATAAAAAATTGGAATATAAAGTTATTTTATGTTAACTTTACTATTCTGTCCAGTATATTTAGTTTTTTTAAATACAAAAAAAATGACTTTTTAGCAGATTTTCAATGTCAAATTTCTAAAAATGTGATACCTCCCAAATTTTTCAAAATATGATAATGAAGTTTTCAGATGCCCCACTTACTATAATTATTAACATTTTTGGGGTACTCTGATAGTAAACTAAAACCTTAAATTTCTGAGCTGTTATTGTTGTCATTTAAAAAAAAAAAAAAAACGGAATATTAAAAAGACAAGTTTTTAAAACTTGTCTTTTTAATATTCCGAATCACTCCCAACAAAGCTGCAAGCAACCACTATTAAGTTGGGAGTTGCTAGAAAAAAAGAATAGAGTTATAGAGCAAGGAAACAGTTGACAGAAGACTTAAAAAGTTAAAAGCTGTATGAGTCAGGAAAACATGAAGATAGGAGAGAGTTCTAAATTGCTAAAGTGCGGCGAAAAAACTAGACAAATAAAAGTTTTTTGAGCACGCAGGGACAGATGCAGTAAAAGAATGAGACTTTGATGAATGACGAGTCAAGCAAGAATGAATTTTAGTTGATGGAACTCAGAGGCTCAAACTTAGCAGATAGATTGGGTCCAACCATGTTTACAATGCATTTTTGGACCTTGTCTAGAAGAGAAAGAGCATCATTTGAAGAACCAAATATGACAACAATATACAGGGATGAATAAAAGATTCGTAGAGATAGAGAATGGAATCAGGAGAGAGAGAAAACGGTGAGCACGATAAAGAGAAGCAAGATTCCATTTGTAATTTTAGGACAATGCAGTAATTTCAGCAGTAGTGCAATGATAAAATATTAATTTAAGTTTTCTGAATGCCAGCAAACTATTATTTTTAACTTGATTTCTGAAAAAAATAACAATGTGTATTATGCGTAATGACTTATAAGATTAACAAATAATAAAATATTGATAAAACCTAGTAAGTAAAATAGAAGAAATGATAAAATATAAAAAATGTGGATTCGAGCAACCCTGAAAACTTAAAAAACTGGACTGAGCAACCCCTAAAACATTAACAGATTGAATCCAAAATTTTCCGATATCATTTTTTATTAAATGGAACCAAATAAAAGGTTGAGAGCTAAAAAAAGAAAAAAAAAAATTCAATGCATTTATTTGTCAACCTATACATATACAATATTTCTATCTATCTATATATCTATATATATATATATATATATATATATATATATATATATATATATATATATATATATATATATATATATATATATATATATATATATATATATATATATATACACTTTTTGAACACATTTAAATACAACAGCTACTTTAATTATATACATAATTTGTTTGAGCTAATTCATTTTTTAAAAGACTTCCATAATCCGATCGTCCATAAATTACACAATCAGGGTCACCCATAAAATACGCAACACTAAATTTATTTAAAAACAGATGTAGGAGCACTTTTACGCAGTGATTTTTATTGAACTTAATTAGCTATTTTAAATTTTTATATAAGTTAATGCTCTTTTAGTGAAAACTTTTGAACTTTTTTGTTTTGTTTACTAGTAAAATTTAGCATAATTTATGGACGATTCCTAAGTATTACATCTTTTTTTATCATTTATAATAAAAGCAATTAATTATTAATTTAAATTTACATTAAATTAAAATAAGTATTTAATTTTTGTCTGGTTTATATAAATTTCAAACATTATTATTCAAACATTTAAAAACTTTTAAAAATCTCTTTTAAATTTATTTTTTTTAAATATTAACATAATAGTTATTTTAAAGCTTATAGAAACCAGTGTTTTTATTACACTATTAAATTTAAGTTGTTACAAAATGTGTGTTTTAGCGCTCGCTACCCAAAGTGTTTATAAAATCAAGCATGGAAATAGTTTAAAAAGATTTATAAAAAAACCATATGTTGCAAGATTATGGAGAAGACTAGCATATGGATAAGCTATATTGAAAGTCTTTAATATGTCTAGAGCCCTTTATCTTGCCACCTTCACCTAATGCACGATAGCATTTTTCAGCTACAGCAGTTATCAAGTCAGCAGTAGAATCAGAAGATCGAAAACTATATTGATTGTAAGAGAGTAAGTTATTAGATTCAAGATTAGAAATTTGTTGATTAAAGATAAAGACCTTAGCTAATAATAGAGAGAACACTAGTTGGAGGATAGTCAGAAGGGACAGAGTTTTTAAAAATTGTAACCACAGATGCCATTTTCCAGCACTTTGGAAAAAAGAATTAGTACTTATTAAATTGTATAGAGAAAACTGACATCAGCCCATGGACTGTCACAAAAAAATAATAATAACAAAAAGAATCCCAGCCAGCTTCAACTGACTGGCCTAACTGGCTTCAAGGTAGTGGCAAATTGTGCAATGATAGGATGAGTCTAATAGGGTGATGAAATGATATGGAGAGTCTGAAGAAATCTGAGATAAAAGAATTTTATCTCAGATTAATAAAAGAAAGAGTTATCTTAACATGGTCTGCTTAAGGAGAATTAGAAGAAACTAAACAAAAGCTAGATTAAAAAAAATAAGCCAAGGAGTGAAGGTAAGTAATTAGGGTTGTCTGGAAAATGAGTCAATAAAGATAACGATCTGAGTAAGATATCAAAAAATACTGAAGTTATGAACTATGAAGTTATGAACCACCAGGGTCAGTGGTATTAGAGCCAATCTATTCAGTGTGATTAGCATTATACCAATAATAAAAACTTTGGTAAAAAAAGATAAAAATGAAAAAACTAGGTCAATTTGAGCTAAAATAACATCAAAGATAGTGCAGCCTTGAGAAGAAGAAAAAGAAGAAGAAGAAGAAAAAAGAAGAAGGAAAAAAAGAAGAATAATAATAAAGAACAAAGATAAGGTAATTGAAGAAAGAGGAGCTAAATGGAAGCACATAAAAGAATGGTCAGAGGATTCATATTTGGTTATATCTACAAATAGGTAATATACATACAAATATGTTAATTGATACAAAAGTTTATGCCCAAATCAAGCATGTGACTATTGGCCTCAAAAACAAATCAAGAATAGCTGTCACTACTGAGATCTGAATAAGAAACAGCCGAATATAAAAAGATTGCTTACCCAAGCCAAAACACTGATTCGATGCATGTACAATCCTCAAATATTTTACCTATTTAAATCCAGCAATGTATATACACTGCTCGGTTCTTTTACCTATTTAAGTTAGTTAATGTGTGTACACTCTGCTGCACAAGTTTTTAAATAAATCTGTCAATAAAACAAAAATACAAAGACAATAAAATAAAATAAATAAAACTTAATATTAAAAACAGTATGAAACATTAAAAAAAATTCTGTAATTAAAAAAGACAAGTTTGATGTTTTGCCCTAATTTAAAAAATGTTTGACTTCATTTAATCACAATTTTCACTCACAATAAATTTAATCGCTTTAAGATAACACAGCTAGATTAGATGAAACGCAAAGTAATTAAAGGAAAAAAAAGTGATGTAATTTTGTCAAAACAAGCATGTATATATATATATATATATATATATATATATATATATATATATATATATATATATATATATATATATATATATATATATATATATATGATTATAAGTGAACTATTTTAATTAC